GTATAATTAAATAAAGCTTTATGGCCAAGAACATCTTAGCAGTTACATGTCCCAAATTTCCAGGAAAAAAAGCCTTTTTATTGCTGTTAATTTATAAAACAACCCCACACCCCCAGTATTTTTTCCCCAGCACAGTTTTTTGGGTTTGGGCTCCTTGTGCCTTATCCACCAAAGTTAGTATTTACTAGTCAATGAGTTGCTGTGCTCACATGTGCAAAAGCTGATTTTCCAGGATGCAGAGTATAAAATAGGCTGTGTACTGAGTGGTAGGTTCCAGTCTATGATACGTGGCTGCACAATCCTTGGGAGCCAAGTAAAATATTTCTTTTCTATATATAGTCACCTGAAATCCAGCAGCAGAGACGCTTCTGAATCTTGCACTCAAAACTTAGTTTTTAAGAAGCAGTTTTTCCTCCTTAAAATTGCGATTCTTTTTTTAATTTCCACGTGGTTTTGCAGAAGTGCCAAATGCTTTCACGGTGATTTCAAACGAAATTTAAAGAGATGAGACAGGAAAAAATGAAGCAGAATATCTTTTTTTTGTGAGGAAAAAAAAAATCACTTTATTTGTGTTTGAAGCAAAGACTGTAACTTTCATGATTTCTTTGCGCATCTTTCCTGTTCTGTAAAATTAAGGCAAAGTCTAATTGACACAGCCACTGTGGTTAGATCTCTTAATTAAAAGGGACAGACTTTTGATCTGGCATAAATGTATTGTATCTTACTTGGGCCACTGAGGTGAATAACAGACCTGACTTTTGCAAAAGGCAGTGACTAGTCTTTGACCTGACGTACCAGTCGCAGGGACCTCCTGTGCCTCTGAAGTCTCAGATCAAATTATCAGCATTTCACGTGTTTTGTCATCAATTTAGGAGTTGTAATTTTTGGCATATTCATTTTTAGATAATACCAGTCGAGAAAAGAGGGGGAAAAAAGTAAAATCCAGTGCTGGATCTGAGCAAACAGAAAGGTCAGCGGTTCAGTTCTGCCTTATGTATTGTATGTGCTGAAATGTCCTTTTAATAAAATAAACCACAAAATGAAAGGGTAGCTGAAAGCTGTAACATTTGACCGTGCAACATAGGTCAAAAGTTACCTTTTTTTCTCAAAAATGGTTTTGCAAATCTTTTTCAGAGCTGATAGATACACACCTTAGCTGGATACAAAACATTATATGAAAAAGAATGACTGTGATCTTTGATCCAAGCAATCAAAAAGAAAGGTAATTGGTATTTTTCTGCCTTTTCTCCAGCTGTGTGTTTCTCTTAACCTTTATTTATTTATTTTTTTTTCAATTAAAAAGTCATGCCCTTTTTTATTTGGCTTAAAGGGTTTAAAATCTTATTTAATTTATTTTTTTTCATTCTTTTTCTTCCCCACTTGTGAACCACAGAGCTGTCCTGAAGTAGCTGGGGCCTGGTGGGCAGGGAAGGAGAGATGGGGCTGTGCATGCTGGGCTAGAGCATCCTGTCCTTCCCAGGCAGCAGCTGGACCCACAGTAGGACTGTGGTTTGCCTGGTCACGTTTTGGGGGCACACTACAAATCCAGGGTTCAGCTTTCCTCCCCAGCCCCTGTTATTCCATTAGTTCCTCCCCACGTGCCTTGTGTTTGCTTTGCATGTCAAAACACTTCTTGGATGGGTCAGTGGAGCAGACATGGACTATTGCAGGAATATTGCAGGATCCCTGCCCGTTGCAGGGAGGAGCCCAGTGGGGCTGAGCTTTGCCCCCTCTGATGAGCTTGATCCCCAAAGTAAAGAGGTTACAGACACCCTACTGCACGTTCCTTCTGGTGCTTTTTTTCATTTTACATGAGAAAGAAGCAGCTGTAATTGTTGCAATACAATAAATGAGACAACTAAAGTGCCTTATAAAAACGATTAACATGTTATCAGGTGAAAGTGCTAACAAGAAAATTCAAGTTTTTACTTGTTTATATATTCAAAATATATTCCAAGTGCATCACTGCCATGGGTGTAGTACTGTGACAACATCAACTTCATTGGTGTTATTCCAGACAGATCCATGGGACAACACTGGTGGAGCTGTCACTTGGATGTGTGGCTGTGTGCACACAGGCAGAGGGGGGTGTGCACATATACAATCAACTGCATGTATAGAATCAATTAGATGTATAGAATCAGTTCCATGTACAGAATCAATTCCAGGGAGCCTGACTCCCTGCCAGCTGAACTGGGGGCTGTTTTCTGTCTCTGGACTACCCGGTGGAGCTCGGTATTTAATACAACCCACTGTCATCTTGCGAGTGAACACGCTCCAGATTTCTATCTGAGAGGATGTGAATTAGAGGCTTAAATGTCTTTGAGGCCTGGAGCCTGAGAGACTGACTCTGCCCCATCAAAGCTGAGCAATTAGGGAATCACAGACATCCTCCCATGATTCCAGCAGCCTCTGCAGTGTCTGATGGGGTCTCCAAGCACCAGGGCCGTTGTTGTGCTCGTACAACAGTAGTGTAACAGAGGATATGCTGAAGGGATTCAGGGCCAACCTTGGTCTGCATGGCTGATGTCAACTGTAATTTCAATATCCTTTTTTATGATTTAATCTTTCGTTATCTTAACCTTGTGACCCCATTTAATCATTAAACATACCAATAGCTCCAGAGCAGCCACACTCCAGGCACCTTAAACAACAATATTTTATTTATTAATCACATCATCTCCATTTCCTCTCAGCTAGAAATGAGCAAATAATGAGAACTGATACTCGAGCTACATTTTAACCATGCTACTAAAAAAAGATAGATGGGAGCTCAGAAGAGCAAGTTCAGCACATGATCTCGGCTTCCTCTGAGGTTTAGATAGGTCTCAGTTTGCTGATTTTGTTCTGTTGAAACCCAAATCTATTGGATTATACCTGGATCTGGATCCATGTGCTCCCAAATCACAAAGATGTGTGATTTCACTAGGCTTGGTCTGGAGGTGACTCCAAGCTGGGAGAGATACTTGCCTTGGGATACATTCCTGTTACATTTATATATTCATTAGATTTAGGGACTCTGGCTGTAGATCAGGACTTTTAGTGCAGGGACAAGCACTGACTTACATCTTTCACTCAGAGCTCCCAGACTACTGTTGTCCAGCTTAAACTGCACCTGACACTCCCCTCTCCACTTGGGTTTAGGTGAAATTCAGGGTGACGACAGGACCTTCAGGCCAGGTGATCACAGGGAGCTCTTGTCATTCAGGTGTCTCCAAGAGAAATCCACCTTGCCACCTGTACGAGCTCGCAGGGAGCAATCTCAGTCCTGCAGCCACTCCGTGGGGTTCTTGTTTCATACTGTTCCCTGCAACCTTTTAGCTCTATTCAGAGTGCAGTCCCCCTATAACCTCAGCCCACAGAACCCACTGCTGACCTTCTGTTCAGCACACAGGAGGGAAAGTGAAGTTTGCAGGCTGAGTCAGCATTTGCCCACACCGTCCAGTCAGGGAAACAGAACCAAATCTGGACCCCTCAAAAGCCTGTACGTTTAGTAAACTCAATTATCTGTTCATGTTTCTCTTGTATTTAACCCTTCCTAGATATGATTGTTGGCTCTGATATTTCCATTATTGTATTAAATAAAAGGAAATTCATATATGGTATTTTCGGTACACTGGCTGCTCAAACAAACGTGTCAATAAATAAATCAGCCTCCAGCCTCAGCCCACTTGTTTTTAGAAAGGAAATGACCCTGTAAGAGTGGGTGCCCATTTCTTTTACCTCACTGCTATTTTTAGCTGAGGCTGTGAAAAATTTCCATTGAAGACCTGCTCCTCTCATTTCCTGGGTAGAGCAAACAGGAAGCTCTGACTGAGCTGGAGGAGGTTTTGGCCTCAAAGTGGACCAACCTCACCTCCCTCTGGTTGCTCACTTGCACTGCAGAGCAGCACCACACCAGATCCCCACAGATTTGCAAGGGCTTGATTTGCAAGAATTCACCCCAGGGGCTGGTAGAAGCCAGCAGGTGATGGTGGCAGGTAGAATGTTGGGCAGCAGGAGGACAGGAGTTCTGTCAGCAAGGTTTTTTTGTCCATGTCATCTCCAAAAGGCACCAATCTGGTTGAAATCAGGCACTTCCCAGCTGGAATTAGAAAGAACTAAACTGTTGGCTGTTGATGGTGGGATTTGTGAGCATGGAGAGATGGGAACTTTCTGCATTTAAGTTCTGGAGAGCACTTAAATTCTAGAGAGAGAATTGTTGTTCCAGGAGGTACCAAAGTGTGCTTTAGGCAAGTAAGAGAGAAAGTTAATGGAGAGATTGGTTGTTGTATATAACACATACTACTGGTCTGACTTTTTAAACAGAGAACAAAGTTCTTCAATGTCTTCTCTTGAGTTTTATTAACAAGCCTGTCCCAGCCTCTCACAGTATCCTGGTGGTGCATGGAAGTTGCTCATGCTACAGTCTACAGACAAACTGTAATAAAAATGTAGAGCAAAGAGAGTTTAGAGTGAGATTATCAATTAAAAAGGAAAAAGAAAAGCAAACAAGAACCACCCAAACACAAACTACACTTCCTCACCTGAATTGCAGTCTCTGTGTTTTCTTCACTGTTCACTGTATTTCCTCCAAACTTGGCCTTTTTTCTCCTCAAAATAATCTTATTTCAGCTTAGTGAATGTGTTAAAATGCTTAGAGACTTTGAGATTTTTCTTTTTTCCCTCGGGTAAGGGCAATGTCTGTGGCAGAGGGCAAGTGTTGTGTGCGTGGGATGTGGCAGGTACTGGCTTCCTGGTGCAGCCTCTCAGGTGTGTTTTATGGTACTTGAAGCTGAACACAGTGTAAACCCCCTCTCTCTATTCCTTTCCCCTTGCCTTCCAAAAATATGTAGTCTGGGTAAATAGGACTAAAAATTTTAGGCTTTAATAAAATTATGTTATGAATGGAGGGGATGTTTTCAGCTTGACAGCAAACTGCCCAAGGATTGCTTTTACTTTCCACTTGTCATGGGTTTGAAAGTGCTTTAACATTTCCTCCTCTCTCTTTTATTTCACAGTTAACGAAATTATCAGGAAGGAATTTTCTGGACTCCCTGCCAGAAGTCAGACATAGAAGAAGAGATTTGTGAGACAACTTTTACCGAATCCTTCCATAACTGACCTCTTAGGTCCTTCCAGTGCCCCTGCAACCTCCAGCTTCCTTTACAGTTCATCTCAATGCAAGGAACAATGTATTGGCATCAAGTGACAGCCTTGACTAAGCAACTTGCCACCTCTCTCTGTAAACACCGAGAAGGACACCCTTCCTTTCCTCCAAAGATTGTATTGTTCTCATGTAACAGAGCATCTGTCTGAGGAAACACTTCAAGCCTGCTGCAAAATATCTATGTATTGATCTATCTTAGTGCTGAGGGAGAAGCGATCTGTCACTCCTGAACCACACAAAGCAAGGGAGGTCGTGCATTAGAGCTTATTTGGGTGGGGTGGGAAATGGGGGAAGAAAGAGTAATATATTCCATTAAAGAATAACATGATTTGCAGGTCACTAGCAAGGACTTGCCCTCCAGGTCTCAAAGCCCTTCTGAGAAATTCTATTATTATAGGAAACTGAGGCAACCCAAGCTTACTCGGCCTTTATCCAACCTGGGATCAAAAGCCATTTTTTTCTGACTCTGAGCACTGTGATTGGTATTTCCAACAGTAAATGTCAGCTGAATCCAGGAGTTTTCTTCATTTTTCGTGTCAGACTGGATAGGCATTTGAAGGAGAGGGATTCTCACTGAGAACCAGTGAAGAAGAACAATTCAGCAGTTGCAACACCTGTCCCAAGGTAAAATAAAGGCAGATAAAATAGAGATTAATATCTAGGAGTCACAGTAAATCCAAAGATTTTATGACTGATACTTATCAATATTTAGGCAGTGTATGAACACAACTTAGATATTTTCTCTCTAACAAACTGTTGCTGTTTCTTTTCATGTAGAACCTGCTATTGGCCTGTAACTTGTCTCATTGTCTCATTTAGCAGCTGGAACATTTAATCACCCCAAGCTGCAGAGGAAAATAATTGCATCCTACAGAAACCATACATTCCATAAAAAATATACACTTACTTATATTCACCTTGTCTCTTTAGCTTTGCAAAGCTACCAGCAATCTCTGGAAAAGTTACATTTCCACGTGAGTTAGTATTTTGTTGTGTTTTGCTTCATGTGTTAGAATAGATTGTGCTGACACTGCTTATCACAATACCAGGTAACCGCTGCCACCTGCAGTTGTACATCTACAAGTCAGAACACTTTGGAGTGTCGGTGCCTCCACAGGGGGATAAAAGGACATCCTGAGTGGATAATCGATGTGCAGTAAAAAACAGCCATAATATTTTAGGAAATAGGTTTTATAAATGAGGAACGCTGATACCTTTAGGAGTGTGGAGCCTGCTCTCTATTCTAAAAAGCGCAGTGAAATTAATCCTGTTTTCGGTTGTTTCCCGGTAAACTTTGCTGAATACCAGCGTGTCCACGTGCTCACAGCAGGAATTACGTTATGGGAATGCAGCAGAGCAGCCCCAAAGTTGGTTCCCCAATGGCTCAAGACAGATCTTGCACAATCCCTGCAGAGTTTGTGCTCAGTCCAACCAAAATCTCTTCGTGACTATTGAGTTTGTATTTTCTACCACTAAAAGCTGGTGCTTAAACTCTGCAAGGTCTTGGGGTTTAGAGTGGGAGGCAGATTTGGACTCTCCAGAACACCTGACCTGGGTCTCAACAGGTCTGGATCTGAAACAGAAATCTGAATTTCACAAGAGCAGCTCTAAACTCTGGATTCAGCCTAGCCCAGCTCCAGAACCCAAGCAGAGCCCTGCACATCCCAACCTGGCATTAATAACACACCTTGGGGACTTGGCTTCTGTTTCCACTTGGTGAGATTCAAATCTTTTGTCCCAGAATGAGTCCCCCGTGTCCCATTTCAGCCACACCAAAAACTCCCTGGCTGCCTCAGTTCTGGTGCTCATGTTGTGAGCTCCACACGTTGCAGCAGCACGACGGGTGAGATGGCCCAGCCTCAGCCTGTACCTGCAGAGGTGAAAATGGCCTCTTTTTTTACTGCTGACTTTTATAGAACCAAAACTGAGGCCCAGACCAGCTGAAAGGACTCCAGCACAGGGGAATTACTGTTAAACAGCGCTCACAGAGTACTTTGACTGGCTCACATGCCTCAAATAAGCTATTTTGGATTGTTTTAAGACTGTCAGTGTGCCAGAATCTGACAGACGTAGTGGATTTTTAATGCAGTCTGATGGACATATTCTAAAGACCAAAAGTTCCCTGTCAGGAGTTCTTTGCTGCAGCTGAGTAAAAGAACAGACCAAATGTGTCTCCCAGTTTCACACTTGGAAGTATTAACATATCTTTCCCTGGTCCAACCTGTAAAGTATTTAAAATTTAAAAACAATTAAACAAGCAAATAAACCAAAAACCCACTCACAGAAAACCAGAAAATCCCAAAGAAGTGACAGAACCTTTTCCTTTGCTGGATTTTAAATAGAATCTCAAGAATATAAAGGTCTTTTAAGATCTGTAGGTGTGCTGATGCTGTCTATAAGTATATTTGGTGATTGTAGCAACTGCTCATCAATTTAGGAGTATAATTTTTTGCATATTTATTTTTACAGTAATATCAGTCAAGAAAAGAAGGGAAAAAAGGAAAATCTAGTGCTGGATATGAGCAAACAGGAAAGCCAAGGGTTAAGTTCTGCCTTACATATCGTAGATGCTGAAATGTCCTTTTAATACATCACAAAAGGAAAGAATAGCTGAAAGCTGCAACATTTGGCCATGCAAAATAGGTTGTGGACTCATAGCAAAGGCTTTTCAGTGGTCAGAGGGCCCCAGGCAGGCAAACCCCTGAGCCTTTGCAGTGCTCCATGAACTCCTGTTCAGGACACACCCAGGACACCTGGGCTCTGTAACCAAAATGTACATTTCCACTGTGCTTATATGTTCCTTCAGGCACTTTGTTTTTGAGGAGAGAGTGTTTGGAGTTTGTTTGTTTTTTTTTAAAATGTGCTACAGGTGCTTTTGTTGCTCTTGCATTAGCTATATTCCTTCCTCATTTTTAATGCATAGATATTAATCTGTTCATGTGTTTGTGCAGGTGCATATACATGTAGTTTATATAATATACCCACATAGACAGGGGCTATTTACAAGGGCCTGAAGTGACAGGGCAAGGGAGAATGGCTTCAAACTGACAGAGTAGTTTTAGGTTGGATATTAGGAAGAAATTCTTGGCAGTGAGGGTGGGGAGGCCCTGGCACAGGTTGCCCAGAGAAGCTGTGGCTGCCCCATCCCTGGAAGTGTCCAAGGCCAGGTTGGACGGGGCTTGGAGCAACCTGGGCTGGTGGAAGGTGTCCCTGCCCATGGCAGGGGGTGTGACTGGATGAGCTGTAAGGTCCCTTCCAAGCCAGACCATTCCTCGATTCTCTGATCTATCTGGGTACATTGTATAAATATGATTTTATATGAACACACACAACCCCATTACAACGCTGGGTCACGATCCTGTCCTGGCTCCAGCCCCGTGTGAGCAGCACATGGAACCAGGACTGAGGGTTCATACCATGTACATACTATAGACTACATTTTAGTGGTTTTATTTACAGCTACATGAGGTCAGGCTGTGCTGCCCTATCTACTTTTATGTGCAACCAATAGTTAAATAATACAGCTTTAACCAACTTTGTATTTATTTCTGGAGAAAAGGAGCATCCTCAGACATAGTGTTATGCGTTGTTGTCTCTTTTTAAAATGCAAACTGAAACATTAAAATTATATAGCTTGGCTGAGGAACTTCAAAATATACAGTACTAAATTATTTCCTGTTCTTGCTGAGCAGTGTTTTTTCAGTATTAATATTTTTGTTACTTAATACAACTTGCTCTCTTTCTGTAGAAACATGAGCTTAACCTTGGAAGAGTTAATACCATTTTGTGAGTAATTTGTTCTCACTTTATCTGGAAGATAGCCATATTTGCACATGAGGAAATTCTGTCTTTCCTCAGTTATCTGAATGTTTCACCACAGTGCCTTCCTGCCATTGTACCAAAGGCCTACAAATATCTTGTCTACAGGGTGAACAACTCTAATGCATTTTCCATCAAAGTTACACCATGCAAAGTACATGGGGCTCGTTGGAACTCAAAAGTTCATCTCTTTTTGTGTGTGTGTGTGTGTGTGTTTTTTTTTTTTACTTTCATTTTTCCATCCAAGCTTTGGCTGCAAATACAGGATGAGCTTCTATAAACTTCTGCATCAAATATACGTAGAATAAAAATCATCATTCATGATATGTAAACAGTCTGAGAGTGGACTGGGAGTGGACAGACATCAGGAAGATTTTTTTTTTTTGTCAGTTATGAGTGTTGGAAGTCGAGTTTGCCAGGAGGGGAATTGCTTGTGAAGATACTTGCAATGAAATATGAAGTCCTGTTTTTGTTTTTCTCCATGAGAATGAGCAGAATGTAAGATCTGAGCAACAACAATGGAGTGAAAGTGTCTCATGTATGTGTTTTTATGGTAGAAAGAATGTAGAAGAGTCATGGTTTTTGCACTTGCTTTATTTGTATCCATGTAAATATGTATCACTTCCATGCTCCTTGTAGGAATACAGCATTTTCTGAATGTAGAATATTTCCCAAACCAGCACTATGTTATTCTCTATTGTATAAAAAGCTGCTGCTTGATAACATATCTAAACCAGTTCTCAGAGTAGCTAGCATGTTTTTAAAGTATATTTTGTAGTCCATATCTTTACAAAAAAGTGACTATGCTTTTTGTCTGACCAAATATGCAACACTTTTTGGATTAAGGTTAGTATTTATAAAGGATCGATTTTCATTTTCTCAATGTCTTAATTTTCTATGCAATTGTTGTTGAATTGTTACCGTCTTAAAAAAAAACATGTATTTGATAGATTTCCCAAAGACTTCAAAGAGAGCTTTAAATGCTTGAGAAATATGTTTCTAAATATTTCAATCTGACTTTTCCCCCTGCATTTCTTTCCAAATTGCTACTTAATAGGGAACAATTATCTGCCAGATGGGACTCCAGAAAATGACTGTCTTAATTTCAAATCTTAAACTGATTCAGATCCTCATGGTTTTTGCACCACTTAAAGTCATCTGACGTTCCAGTTTATCTGCAATTCTGAGTGTTTGTTATTTATGTTCCACATTCCTGTGCAATAGGAAGAGATGCTGATGTTGGGTCTAGATGGGCTGAATTGCAAATTCCTCATCGTTTACATTGCAGTGGTTTCTTACCTGTAAGAGTAAGGCAACACTCTGCTGTCACACATGGAAGGTTATAATTCTTTATTCATCTCAGTTCGGAATGAACAATCCACCTTTTTGTATGTTTGCCATAAGATTGACATCTGTACCTTTAATATCTGCTCCTTTATAAGTGCAGTGGGTGGCAGCTGATAGCGATTTGTTAAACTGCCTGTCAGTGTCTAACCCCCTCTGGGCTGTTTAAGGTTTGTTTAGCCATTTTTATTGTTTCTGGGGTGCAAAAAAATATGACTTAGCCCCTGACCCACGTTGCAGTAAATTTCAAATGAAGGTGCTGATGCTGTGAAAGTGATATCAGCTGCAAAAAGAGTGGTTATCTGGGGAATGGTGGTTTGAGTTCCTTGTCAATGACTCCCATAAAATAGCAAAGTGGAGTAGAAAGTTCTACAATGACTGTCACAAAAATGACTAGTGATTTATGTGTTTGTAATAGCCCAGAAATCCACAGATATGCTGTTGGAATCCTCAGCTGTTCCAGGATTGAGCTGCCCTCAGTTTAGTGGTGCTGAGCAGCACCTGAAGCACAGGTGGTGTGAGACCAACGGGGAGTGGAGGGACAGCTCACTATGAACAGTGATGGCCTGACTGGGACTCGCAGATCTGTGTGTTTGAGTGTGTGTGTATAATTCTGAAGTGATTCCCCCCCGAAGCCCAACACCCCCTGGAGCCCTGCCCTGGGTGTTCAGGTAAAGCCATATGTTAATAGACACAGGAGTGAGCATTTGTCACTCAAATCACCCTAACAGATGTCTTTTGAATCAAATTGCTAGTTCAAAAACCTAACTTCCACAACTGAAAAGGGGGTTCTGTCATTCACATTCCTACAACAACGTTGTTAACCTCCAATGTAATGATTTTTTTTTCTATCTGTAAAATATTTTTATATATTGCTTGTAATATGGTAGATTAGCAATAAATGAAAGGGCATCATCTGCTGCAAGAGTGTTTGGTCTGTTCTTAAACACCTTTATTGCCTCTGCTAAACTAATATCAAGGGGCTGAGTCACCCACTTGATAGTCTTCATGTCCTTGTCATCCTCCTAAATACTCACAAGTGGGATGTGCATAAGGATGTCAGAGTACAGAATATTTCTTCTTTAATGAGTTCCTCAGTTCCCCTTTGCATCAAGATCCCACTCAGGTTCTGTAGATGAGATAGATCAAGTCAAACAGGGACAATTTTATGAACTTCTTCATTTTTTTCTTCTTGTCTATTTTCACCTCTTTTGATTTTCTATTCCCACCATCCCAATAAAAAGCCCAAAACAATCCACATAACAGGTGCTGCAGACTTTCTACCTTAATAAAGAATTAATTTCTATCTGAGTAAATGTCCTTCTGCGTCAGTAGATGCTTTTTCAGACTGGGGATGTACTCCATTTCATTGTTGTTCATCTAAATCCTAATCCTACATTTCTCTACTGGAGACACTAAAAGAGACATTTTCATACTGCTGTACTGGAAGGGTGCCCAGAGCCCATTATGCCTCAGTAAGAGGCGAGTTTATCCAGCGTGCAATTAAAGACATTTACCTTAACAAAATCAATATTATCCTTTGCATTTAAAACCAGAGAATTCAAACCATATTTGATGCGTTTGCTGGACATGGAGCAAGCGCTTTGCTTTGCTTATTCACAAAAGCCTCGGAACAGGCACCATGTGGAAGTTCTTAACTCCCAGAACCCTGTACAAAGGCTGGGAAGCTCATAAACCAGACAGGCCTCGCCAACAAAGAAGCTGTTACTGGCTGGGAGAGAACATTTTATGATGAGCAAATATATGGCACACAGGATTTTAGCTTTATTCAGCAACAGGAAAGTTTAAGTAACTTAACCTGGAAATTCCACAGTTAAGGGCTGAGAACCCGAGCACCTGACCCGATCCTCTGGCTTTAATTTACGTCTTGGGTCGGAATTAAAAGACTACAACAGTACCCCAGGTTTTTCGTCTTAACGGGAAATTTCCTGGATTTTGTAGACTTAACTCCCTCCTTTGTAACCCTTCAACATAGCTGACTCTTTTCCCAGTTTTCAGGGTAGCAGCAAGGAAGAACAATCCCTGTTTCTAATGAACATCTGGGTCTCGTATGAGCCCTCTCTCGCTCGCGTGCTCTGTTGTGTAAATATGCGATTTACAACTTCTTTTTCTTTTTTTGAATACAAATGTAATTTAGGCAATTTAAGAAGCTGCCTTTCAGCTTCATACCAGATTCTTTTCTAAATACATCATCACTGGCTTGCTCAGGTGGCCAAGCTCAACTGGGCTGCTGTAAGGGAGCTTCACAGGGAAGATGAGCTCCCACCCCACACCATCCTTATCTTCCCTATCCCTGGACCTTAGTTGGACCATCTGCTCCTGTGAACTCATCATCTCAGTGAACCCATGCTATAGAGGGGGTTTAATTAGTTTTATTTAGGAAGGGAAGGCCACAGCAGAGGATTTGGGCTCCTACTGACCTCAAGGGCAACACTGCTGGCACAGCAAAATTGCTGAGACTGTGAGGAACCACTTACCCTAAAAACCCAGGGGAAGGAGGTGGTGGGAGAGGCTGGCAGGAGCTGCATGCACACCAATGGGCCAAAGCCAGGCATTGGAGGTGACTGCAGTACAAAGGCACCTCTTTATTCAGCAGACCACTGAAATTATAGCTGAAATCAAGACGGAGAGTTCAGAGGCAGCCCAGAGCTCGGAGGGCAGGCACTAAAATAAAAACATTATCTGTTGCTCAGATATACGCACAAACAGTAAAAGGATGTATTTTTCTGGGCTTTTGCAGTCTATTAGCTGCCTAACTGCCCATGAGAGCTCTGCTCTGCCCGGGGAGTTTGGATGAAATGGACTCTCAGGCCGGGGATGGGCTGTGGGAGCAGCCAGCGTTCACCGTACCAGCCTTGTTTTCCTCAGAAACCAAGCAGAAAGC